TTTTTTTTTTTTTTTTTTTTCAACATTTATTTATTTTTGGGACAGAGAGAGACAGAGCATGAACGGGGGAGGGGCAGAGAGAGAGAGGGAGACACAGAATCGGAAACAGGCTCCAGGCTCTGAGCCATCAGCCCAGAGCCTGACGCGGGGCTCGAACTCACGGACTGCGAGATCGTGACCTGGCTGAAGTCGGACGCTCAACCGACTGCGCCACCCAGGCGCCCCTGATTCATTCTTTTAGTTAAATATATTTAGATGATGCTCTGTCACCACCCCTGAAGTTCATGATACATTTGTTAAATGAAGGGCTGAGGAGCTGAGCAGTTGAACTGAGATTCAGTACTTTCCACTTTCCAGAGAGCAAGAAAGCAATTTAGTTTTAAGCAGTTTATCTCCCTCACTGGGTGTTGTATGGAAGCCAATTTGACAATAAATTGTATCTTAAAAAAAAACACTTTTAGGTCAATAAACTCAACCAGGATTTTAGACTTGGAGAATTAAGAATGTGATTGTGTGATGCCATAATAGTTAATTAATTATTTTTAGAATATCTGTCCAGTTATATAGTTACCTTGGCATATTCTAAAAATTTGCTGCATTTTTCTCACAATTGACGATAACCTTCATAGAATCTAGCCTGAATTAGATTTAAGCATATCCCAGACAACAAAAAGCTAATGCATGCATATATATTACTTTATTAAGGTGTTGTGGTAGTATTGAATGTATGCATTCACTGTAGAGACTAATTTTACCTTTTATTTTTTTAAGTTTCATTAGGTGCCTTAGCACATAATTAGTACTTTCTCAATGATTTTATCTAATTTTTAAAAGTATAGGCCACTTTTGTATGGCAGATGTCTTTGCTTTGTAATTTTATTGTGATAATTTCCATCTGTGTTGCTGCTTTAGTCAATTCAAGCTGTTCTAGGAATGTCCTAGGTTGGGTGGCTTAAAGAATAGACATTAATTTCACACAGTTCTGGAGGCTGGGAAACTTCAGGTCAGGGTTCCAACATGGCCAGATGCTGGTGAGGGCCCCCTTCCTGGTGTCCTTATATGGTGCAGAGAAAGGAGGAGATATTGTTTCTCCATCCCCTAAGGACGCCAGCTCCATCATGAGAGCTCTACTTGTATGACCTCGTCCAAACCTAATTACCTCCCAAAGGCTTCACCTCTAAATAATACCTCATTGGGGATCAAAGCTTCAACATATGCATTTTGGGGGGACACATTCAGTCCATACTAGTCCCCTTCTCTAAAGTGTACTATCACCTGACAAGAAAAGTTGAATCAAATTTGTGTTCAAATATAGTAGCAGTTCATTTGTTTTAATATTAGAATATATTTTGCATATGAAATTTTAATGATGTCAAAGCTGATTTCCTAATGTCAAAAGTGTATAGCAACAATTAGAAAATTAGAGTAATATAGCAGTAGTAGTAATGATAGCTAACACAAGCATTCACTCTGCACCAGCCACATGTAACCCTCACAAACTCACAGATACTCTGAGGGGGGTAATATTCGTATCCCCAATCTATAGACATTTAACAAAATTGCTTATTATTTTCATTTTATCTTAAGTTTCTAGTTGTATTGTCTGATTCAAAGTTATTGAAAAAAATTGATGACAAATGCAGTGCAAATCTTCAATTTTTTTTTTTAATAGAAAAACAGTGTCCTGTACTGAGAACAGAGGGACATCAGTTTCCACAGGACAACAGAGATAAACTTGAAGTTTCAGGTGAGCTTTATAATCCTTTGCAAAGAGGCATTTTGTATAAAATTATCAGCACATGTGGAGTTTATCACAAGTGATTCTTTGACATTATAATTTAGGCTGGTAACATCAGTATAAGAAAATAAAAAGAAGGAAGATAAATGATGTAGAAAAAAAGAGCAGAGTACTATATTAACTAACAACAACTCAACTTCTTGGAGAAAAAAAGTTATTTAAAATCATAGAAGTTGTATCCATTGTAGAAATTTTGAAAAAAGAAAAGAAAATTTAGTAATAAAAGATCTCACTACCCAAATACAGCCATGATTCCTATTTTGGTATAACATTCCTATCTTCCTTGCTCTGTCTTCCTTTCCTCTCTCTCCCTCACTCCCTCTCTCCCTCTCTCTCACACACATACATAATCATGATACATATTTTGAATTTGAAATCAAAGCATTTACCCACATCAGTATATATTCTTCTAAGGCGTGATTTTTTTTTTTAAAACAGGACTGCTTAAATTTCAACTAAATTGCTGTAATATTTTTTTTAATGTTTATTTATTTTTGAAACAGAGAGAGACAGAGCATGAGCAGGGAAGGGGCAGAGAGAGAGGGAGACACAGAATGTGAAGCAGGCTCCTGGCTCTGAGCTGTCAGCACAGAGCCCGACGCGGGGCTCGAACTCACGAACTGTGAGATCATGACCTGAGCCGAAGTTGGACACTTAACCGACTGAGCCACCCAGACGCCTCTGTAATATTTTTTAGTTAACTAATTTCCTGTCTTAGACATCAGAGCTGCTACAATGAGCTACTATGATTATTTTCTTAAGATAATTCCTAAGTCAAAGAAAATTAACATTTGAGTCTTTTGCAACATATTTTATACTTCTGTAGCCTACAAGGAGAAAAATGAAATCAAGAAATTTTGCTGAGCCCAAACAACAGGGTGTTATTTGAAATAAATCAGTCTATAGATAAGGACGACAAAAAATCCTATTTAAAAATCAATATCTCTGTGAGTTTCCTAATTTTAACAAAACTGCTGGATTAAATCATTTGTTACATTTTATAGGTTTTGACCTAGGAGAGAGCTTTTCTCTGAGACGTGCATTTTGTGAAGGTGATAAAACCTGTTTCAAATTGGGAAGTGCATTTCTTTTTAGAGATACCATGTAAGTAAATTTTTCTTTACATTTTAATAATATTACATGAACTATTTTCTAAGAAAATTTCAAATAATTTGTTTAAAAAATAAAAAAAATATCTTCTCAATGGTGTCATACTTACTTGAATGCTGTGGTAAGTGGGCTGTTTGTATATTTGTTGTTTTTAATAATCTTTGGAATCTGATCCTATCCTATGGTATAAATGCCATTCACCCATACAGATATAGGCATAGTCTTTGCAGAATAGTAATTAAAACCATTTTGAAGAAGTATTATTTATGTTTAAAGTAGATATAACCAAAGTTAAATTTTAAAATGTGAACCTTAAAACAGAAGACGCAGTGTAGATTTCAAGACAAGAGGCTGATATTTATTGTAACCATTTTCTACGTTTACTATGCTTCATGATAAATTAAAACAAAAGAACCTAGCCTTTAGGTATTCCTTTTATATAAGGTGTAGAGTACATAATAACATAAGATGATAACATCATTATAAGATGGTCTTGATACACATTTCATTTCAGAATTGATTTCCCAAACTTTTTCTTTCTTTTTTTTTTTTTTTT